ATCTACACTGATGCACTCTTCGCTTTGGCTGCGCCTGACTATCCTGTCCATGTGCAACACAAACAAGAGACGAGAGAGAATGCAGCCCTGCCCGGCACTAGTTCCTTCGCTGAAAGATTTCGATATATAGCCGTCCACTGGCGCAGCAGCTGCTATCAGCATACAGTGATTGGGTGAGTCATAACAACCGGCCATCGATCCGATATGTCTGCATTTATGCCTATAGACTGTCCCGTGGGAGCCGGTCATAGGCTTACTGCTGCTCCAAAAAGCACATATAAGCCGGATGAGCGAACTCCCTCGATTTTTTAACAATGTCGCATAATACTAACATCTTGTCTGAGATGCTTTGGCCAGACCTGAAGTCGTGTCGCTCTTCTCCCACTGCGCCACTTTTCTAGCTACTTTGTGTTGACTTCTCTGGATGCTGAATGAAGTGACACCCCGATAATTGGAACATTCTCTGTTCTTGAACACTCTACAGTGCCCGTTCTCTAGTCCACTGGTGTGCTGTGCGTGGCCACTGCTGTTTAGCAGACACGTGTAAGATATAACTTACCTTATTCGCCCTGTGCTTTACGCATTTCAGGGCGGATTTAATCGTTTACAGCAGCGTTACCGCTTTTCCAACTTCTGTTACTTCATCTACTGAAACACTAATATTCGTTTCCTGCTGCCCTTTAGCTCAGTTTTCTTGCGTTTGCTCAGGGTTAAGGAGTTCCCCACAGTTCTTCGTCCAACACGGAAGTATGTGGACATCGGAGATAATCGGGCTTTGAGATTTGTCGTCTTTGTCCGAATGTAATCATGATACGTAAGTTTTATCCATACTCATCGATAAGGCAAGCAAAAGATCGGAGTAATTCCGATGGAAGGCATCAGAAAATTGCAGTGCGTTTCTCGTGTAGACAGTCTACAAATGACCCTGGGAAATCTCACGCCTTCATCCCTCTAAGTGAGAGACGGTATTTCATGCAACTAAGTGAGTAGTTTTCGAATAACGCTGCAGCGTTTTATAAAATTAGTGGAACACTGTCGATTTAATTCTTGTATCATCATATAACTCTTTGAAGTTTCATTCTTGCCCCGACAAAGAAAATTCAAACAGGTTTTTCGATCGTTTGTTTCAACTAAACGAAATCGCAGATCATTGATTGCTGATCAGGGATTTCACTCGAATCTGAAAATGTAATTCTGTGGGATGTCCTCGGTTATAAAATCTGAATTACAACATGATCACTAATTATTCCAGTACGTAACATGAATTTTCTTTCCATGTAGTCAGTTCCCATTGACAAAAATTTTTCTCGATAGCTAGCAGTAATAGTAGGACTGCCCACCTACTTTGTCAAAATTCGGAAGTCTGATAGGAGATTTTTATGCTTACTGGTGAGATTGAAACCTAGCAGATTAATAGCTAGCCCAGGATACCGGGGTGACTATCATGTACATATGTATGCGTACACATAATGCCATTTCGGTAAGTGTTCAAACAAGCTTTAGTTCGGCTCTGCTTACTGATGCGATTTTGCCACAATGCACTGCAGGTGATAAAATGCCATGGAGCTGTGGTATATTTATATAGTTTTCTAGGCTGCCAGAAGCAAGAAAACGGTGCCTTTACATCGTGTAAATCAAGAAAATTTCCAAGAAAATGTTTTTACCGATCTCTAAAGAACAAAAGTTTGCCATTAAACCCACATCATGGAGACTGTTTTTGTGTAAATAATAGTCAATATAATGGTTTTTTTGTCTCAGATACATTGTCGAATGTTTTTTACAGATTTCTTGCTGAGACACTCCGTGAGAGAAGCTAAATTGCACAAATCAGTCATTTGGGTGTCTTACAACCACCAGTGTTTCCAGTGATATGTTCATAATGTTAACGAAAATCGTCACTTTGTCTTTTGCAGCAGTTGATTCATTTTTAGCCCAGTTACCAAAAAATATATTCAGCTTGCAAAAAAATGAGTCGAGCATCGAATGGTTTACACTCATAGTTAATAGGATAAACTGTTTAAGTAGCTTTCAAAATTACAAGAAAAAATATTTGTTAGAACACCCGCTGTTTAACTTATGGTAGATATAATGTTATGAGCTGAACGGCCACTTGTTGTGATTATGGAAACTTGCATCATTGAGAAGAAAATACTAGCCTAAGGAATCAATTGTGACTTTAATGAATCTGCTACTGCCTCCCGTGATTCTATTGACCTTTCGAATATTTTGGATGATAATGGTAGAACCCTTTGCACATAATTCCTTCTGTGCATCCCCTTGGTCAAGTAAGAGTTGCTCTCTCTGACAGAGATATAGTTGTTCTCACGGATGACTAGGAAAAACAGTTTAACTGCGCAGAGCAGCATTTTTTTAATGAATAATAAGGGTAAAAGGTAAGGCAGCATAAGGAATAATACTCTCCTCCGGGCACAGGTAGTGTCCGTACATGTAGAGATTACAAAATGAAGGTTAACTTGTACGCCATTTATTTTAGCCGCGTAGTTTCTCGTGTGAGAGTTGAAATATAAAAGTATTGATCAGAGAGGCCGGGAATGCAACAAGTACGAACAAAGTAAATGCTGAAATGCGTTCAATGAAGATTTTTTTCAAAAACAGAAACCAATGCTTATAGCCAAAATATTTAGAAGCCTGACATTATCACAGACGTTGTAAAACGAAGATAACCTGATCAGTTAAATGGCTCAAGATAATGATCTCAACAATTACACAAACGCAGAAAACGGCACGTTCCGGTTCGATGGAGCACGTTCTATGATTTGTTGTTTTTTAATACATGTTGTTCCAGTATATTCGCTATAGATTTCTCACTTTATTCGTTGAAATTCTTTGAAGTCTCTAAAGCCATTTGTTTAAGTGTTCGTGATTCAGTGCTGTACGCAGAAATATTATAATCACGTTTGTCATACGCGGTTAATTGAACTTGAGATTCTAACAGTAATCCTTTCCATAACGCTATTTGGTATGCAGTCAATAGTTGGCGCTTAATGAATGTTGACGTTGTAACTTTTAAAGGTTATAGTAGAAGCGTGTTGTTTGTACCTTTTTCCATATCGTTTTTCATTGTTTTCTTCAATTTTACTCCAAATGTTTGTCTGCTAAAAGGTTGTGCGTTTGTGAATCTAACAGCTGTAGAAGGAGCAAACGTTTCGTTGCCTGCTTGAACAAAAATTATTGAACCTCGTTTCTCGATCCATTGCGCAGAGCAATTATTTAAAAAGGACAGTGTAATTTCATTTAATTATCGATGCCACATGTACGTATCCTTACGGTTATGCATATATTTATATATTTTGTCTGTGTATTATATAGATATAAATATATGTACGTAAATACAGCCCTGATATAGATGCTGGTTATGCGACATCGAAACGCGTTTGTGAGTAAAAGAAATTACATCCTCCTTTGTAAATTGTTACTTTTAACCATGGGTCGTTAAACTAAGACCAATGGAGATTCCATTTTCTACTACGCGGGCGCCTTTCTCTTGACAAACATAGGGGTAGGAAGAAAAGTTTTTTTCCATCTCCACTCGTCAGCGTCGCATATTCAGTTGTTGTCGTTTCTCAGGAGTTTTGAAAGCCACCACAGTTGCTGGTGGCTGGAGGTACGCCGTACCACATTTCTCTCCATTAGATGATCTCCATTTTCATCATAACCCGCTCTATTCAACGTTAATGCCAAGGTTACGTTATGAACATCCAAAGCTGCTGATAGGAAAAGTATCTTTTCTTGCGAAAGTCCATGCAAGATTGTACCCTTCTGGCATTTTTCACCACTAGATTACAATATCGTATTTTTTCTATGCTGTATTTGTGAAGCCATTTTGGACAGCAGCGCAACGCTGTTGTATCATTTAGTAAATGAGCATAGTTATATCAAATTTGGTTATATCCTTCTCTCCTAAGTGCTTATTGAGGCATCGACAGCGAATCTCGTGTTATTTTATTGATTGAAGCAGCACTGTCATCTCCATACAATATCGAATAACCACGTAATTGTGGGGTTTTTTAAGTTAATAAGTATTAATGTCGAATCGTATTACTGAAAGTGTAGTTATCGGAATCATCTGCATGTATCTTGGGCATCTGCCATTTTTCTTAGTCTGTGCTCATGATTCCGCTTATGATTATAAAGACAGATCTACTTACCCTTCATTTTCTTCAGTATGGTACTTACTTCTTCACCCTATTTGTTCGTCTGCCCTGTGTCCACTTGTTGGTGTCTCAGTATCTTATTCTTTATTTATTTATTGCAATATCTTATTCGGTATGTTTGTTACGTTATTGTCTGTAATTAAGTTTATATATTTGTGCGTCAAGAAAAAATGCTGATTCAAGTTTTTTATAACTAGTGATTTGTGTCGGTTAAGGATTGACAGCGTTGATTGATTCCTCAGCGTTATAAGAACGATTTCAGTTGAAATCCCTTTTGCAGTGTTTAAATTTGAGTGCTTTTATACTTAATCATATAATGTTAATTTTCTATGTTTAGCTTGGATTGTTTCATAAAATAATGCCCTAGTATCTCCAGAACACTGATCCAATGGGAAAAGATAGGAGAGATTATTCGCGTCGTAGCTCCAGGGAAAGAAGTCCTAAAGACAAAGAAAGAGATCGTCGGCGTCGCAGCAGAAGCCCGAGAGACCGCGGCTTAGAGAGAAGCAGGGACCGTCGGAGCCCGAAGGACAAACGTCGTGAAAAGGATAAAGACCGTTCCCAGAAATCAACCAAAAATCGATCCCATAGCCAAAGCCCAATGCCCGAAGCACCTAGGGTTGGATCGATAGCTGCGGACTTGGTAAATATTTTTGATATCAACAACAAAGAGGCGGAAAAGAAGCTCGAAGAGGAGATGCGGAAACGAAAAGAAAGGATCGAACGATGGCGGGCGGAACGCCGAGCCAGAATGATTGCTTCTGGTCAGATCGACGTAGTAGCTGAATCGAAGTCGATGCAACCGTCAAAGAAATGGACTCTGGAAGATGATGCTGACGACGAGATGGAGCCTGATGACATGACTGAGGCCGTTGTTACAGAAGCACCTAAGACGCCGCCAGAGAAACCTGCCAAGACGGTCGAAGAGCCGATGCCGGAAGCGGCAGAAAACCCAGATGAAGACCCACTCGATGCCTACATGCAGGTAAATTTAATTATCACGTAAATTAACCGGTTATGTATATTACAAATAAAATTTTAAAATATGTTCAGTCATTTTCCAGACCCGTTATTATTTCCTAGTTTTTGGAACAGCAGCTTAATAAGGTTTCACAGTGACCTTGATCCTCCCTTAACTTGGCAGTCTCCAAGGCCTGAATTCCATTTATACCAGATCTATCTGGTTCTTGATCCGCAACTTGACCGCTTGCCAGGTCTTTCACCACGATTGTCTGTACCATGAGATTCTTCTCTCTATCCTGCTAAAATGTTTTGTCCTAGGGTTTTGCCCACCTTAGAGAAATTTCGTTGCTCATCTGCATAGCTGTTCTCTCTTCAGGGCGTTCTGTTTAGAGTGGATTTTTCATCATGTTCAATAGCAGATTTGATATCACTTCAACATGGCCCATGTCGTTAATGGAGTCGTATTTCGGGTTTTGCTTATGTTGAAAAAGTCCGATTAAGTAATAACAGCACCTGTGTTATGCGGCGTTATTTAATTGTTTAAGATCCAGTGAAAGGTGTATTCGACAGGTATTTATTGTTCGTCATGTAGTTTTTGTTTTCTTCTTCATTATTTCGTAGCACATATGACTGAATGAAAATTGTTGTTTCTCAGCATCTCATTTTGTAGTGTGATAAGTAAATATATTTTTCATAGAGGGGCAGTAACAACATACACTGTAATAGGATTTTCTTAATAGGTTTCCACTACTTTGCATTTACTAGCGTTTATCACTTGTCGGTCGCGTATGTAGACGAAGTTTAGCACTTGTCGGTATGTCGAATCAAAATTCCTGTTGGCAGTGGTCCAAGGCTTCAGCTTGCTGTTCTTGGTTTAGTAGATATATTTATGACTCATCGCTTGAACTTTTCAGATCGATGTGACATTTCGTTTGTTTAATATGATAGTATGAGCATAAAATGATTTTTAAGTAAATTGTTGGTAACTGTTGTGCATACAATGTTTGCGAACATAGTAATGTTTTTTCAGGAAGTTCATCAAGAAGTTCACCAACTTCGTTCTATCAAAGAGACGATGCGGACGCAGAACGAAAAGACTCAAGAAATCGGAAAGGCAAAAATAGTGGTCGTCACAAAGATTGCCACGCATAAGGACCCGTCTTCAAAAGGTGACATTATCGAACAAGATGCTGATGCTTTGGAGTATTCTGACGAAGAGGATGACATCGATATTGAACAAGCAATGAGCAGTTTGGCAGCGAGGGCTAAACAGCTTCCAGTCACCGATCACGGAAAGGTATATTACAGACCCTTTCGAAAGAACTTTTACATTGAAGTCCCGGAACTTGCAAAAATGACTAACGAAGAAGTAGAGGCGTACCGAGAAGAGTTGGAGGGTATTCGAGTTCGAGGCAAAAACTGTCCGAAGCCCATCAAAAATTGGGCTCAGAGCGGCAGTAGCAGAAAGGTCCTGGACGTACTGAAGAAAAGTGGGTTCGAGAAACCGACACCCATTCAGGCACAGGCAATACCGGCGATTCTTTGCGGACGTGACGTTATTGGCATCGCTAAGACGGGTAGTGGAAAAACTCTGGCTTTTCTGATTCCGATGTACAGACACGTTTTGGACCAGCCTTCTCTTGAAGAAATGGATGGCCCAATAGGTATTTATTATTAATTTTAATAACTACTGTTAAATAATGGTATCATTTCATTTAAAGCAGACATTGATTTTCCTGCTATTACTCAAGAAAAGGACCATACTTCATGTTCCCGTTTTCGAAATGAGAATTAACTTTAGTCGTC